ACCCCCCACCCCACACACACACACACACACACAAACACACACACAAAAAAACCCCATCAAAAAAAGAAAGAAAAGAAAAGGTAAAAAATAAGTGAGAAATGCAACGATTAAAGAGTTGGAGAATAAGAGTGAAAAGATAAAAATCAACTTAAAATCTGATATCTTCACTCCACCTTAATTAGTTTCAGCACACAAAGAAGCAAAGACTGCTACTACTACATCTAAGCAATGCAGTGTAGAAGGTGTTAATGTCATATGTAGAAATATTATTGATGGATAGATTGCACACACCTCGACTACTCAACTAGGTAGATGAGAAGATTTCTTTATCATACTTATGAAACTAACCTTATCCAATTTCTGAAAAGACTCAGGTTTAAGAGGCAGCCAGCCATTAATGGCTTCAGCTGCAACAGTACTAAGCCATACAGGCCAACCTGCAGCAACTTGCTCTCCTTCCACATACTTCATCAAACTCACTGATTGATCACCATTAGAATTTTCCTTGACCGACTCGTTTAACTTGCTCGCAACTCCACTTAGTCCTGATAATTCCCCTCTCTTCAAATCAAATTCAGGTACCAATGCATCACTGTCGTCATTTTCTCTGAGAGTCCCTGAATATTGATCACATGCAGGGGTTACCGACACGGTCTGTTTCGAGGCCACACAACCCATGAAGGACAATATAAATGTAAATGACTCTACACTATCAAACAGATCGACAATATAGCCATTTGCAGCCGAAACAACAGCTTCCACTCGAGCTAGCTATGTATACGTATCCAAAAAACAATGTACGTATATGAGTATTATGGTGCATCCGTTTTGAACTCATTAACTCTAATCTGTCTCTGTATATTTTACAGTGACACTTGACTACAAAACAAGACCAACCCAGACGGCATTTAACTAAATCTTGACGTGGGTCAAGTTCAATTCTGAAGTAGCAATGGAAATTTGAAATATTACTTTTATATATTCAAGAATCAAGAACTCAGTTCACAGTCGCTAGCTTTCTTCCTCCTCGAAACTCTTTTCTGCGGTAATTGCGGAAGGTGGACAAGGAAAATAAGAGCTTAACAATCAGAGTATAGGAATGAGTGATGAGCGATATCAACGGGGAGAAAGGGAACTTATAGCCTTTTCAATAGTAACAGTAGGAATTTCCAAACTTCTTTTTTGGTTTGCGGAATTAATATAATGCAGGAGGGCAAGAAAAGAAAAAAGAAGAATGAGAAAGAAAAGTAAGCATTGCAGTCTTTTGAGAGCAACTACTCTTTGACTTGTTTCAGCATTCACTGCGAAAATTTGAAATTCTCCTGGTCTTGTTGGTAATTTTGGCAGTATTTTTGTTATTTTCCTCGCTAAAATTTTCAGAATTATTAAGATGGAGATTGGTCAGTATAAAGTCCGAGAAGGTGGGGGCCAGCCAAATGAAGTGACATGTGTTGTTTAGGAGTAATAGGGAAAATTTGAGAAGTTTTATTATATGTCTCACACAACTTACATTAGTTGTGTGAGACTCCTTTTTGTCTTACAAATTTGTGGACCCCAATCTTACACTAATTGTGTGAGACAAGAAAGGAGTCTCACACAATTAGTGTCAGTTGTATGAGACACAAAATAAAATTTTCCGGAATGGATCCAGAATTGTAACATTGGGGTCCACAAATTTATGAGACAAAAAGGAGTCTCACATAACTAATGTCAGTTGTGTGAGACACACAATAAAACTTCTCGAGTAGTAGCCTGTTTGGTCAAGTCAAAAGAATTTATTTTTTTTAAAAGTTGAAGTGTTTGGCCAAGCTTAGACAAGGAAAAAAAATGCTTTTCAATAGAAGCAGAAGCCGTTTTAGAAAAGCAGAAAAAAATAGTTTCTCCCAAAAAGTGCTTTTGAAAAAAATACACTTACAAGCAGTTTTAAAAAACTTGGTCAAATACTAATTGTTGCTCAAAAATATTTTTCAAATTGATTAATCAAACACAAACTACTTGTCACCAAACGTACTTTTGAGAAAAAGTACTTCTCAATTGCAAAATGCAGCTTGGCCAAACAGGATATAATTTTTTGTGGTTTGGTTTAACAAATTTGCTAACCTAATTTTTGATAAGTTGGTAAAATGCTCCTGCTGAGAATTTATCTTTTGAACCCGAATCGAAACTCTGAACTATTTGATTAAAACTTTAATTATTTCTCATCACATCTAAATTTTTAAGTAAATTTGTTTATAAATACAGTTTGGTTCAATGAAGGGACTGGAGTGGTCCCCACGCCCCATTCTTGTTTATTTAAGTGCTCTAGGCGTGGGGCTGGACATGCAAGGGACAAACATGAAGTCAGAAAAGAGAGATGAATTGCTGAATAAAGAAAGAAAAAGAAAAAGCAAAAAGTGGATAGATTGATGTAATGAGGGGGAACAAACTATGAGGTTGCCTTTTCTTTGCATGCTACTTGCTGCTGTTTTGTGTTTACCATTTGCACTTCCACTACCAACCACTCTACAAGTCTACTTAACTATTTATATCAAATCAACGAATTACATGTATGCCATTTTATATATACTTTTATTGCTTAATCATAATTAAATAATATTTATTGTTAATTTAATTTTTACCTGCTAGGATTAATTATATAATTTGATAGAAATGTTAATGCGAGAGGCGAAATTGTTCAAGCATGTGAAGAGGAGAGCACAGATACCCTAGTTAGCAAGTGTAAGAGGTTGGCCTTGGTGGCTACGAGGAGGGGTAGGTAAGCCAATGAAGTTTTGGGAAGGTGATTAGGCATGACATGGCATGACTGGAGCTTACCGAGGACATGACCCTTGATAGAAGGGTATGGAGATCGAGAATTAGGGTGGACAGTTAGTAGGCAGCCGCGCGTTTCTGTTTTCTTTCTTACATCGATAGCAGTATTGTTAGCATGGTATCTTTTTATTCTTGGATTGATGGTACTATCTACTGTTTGATTGCATTCTTTCGCCTTATCTTTCTTAATATCTTGTTGTTATTGTCACTTATCGCCACCGATTCTTTTCATCTTGTCTTTAGCCGAGGGTCCATCGGAAACAACCTTTCTGCCCCTTCTAGGGTGGGAGTAAGGTCTGCGTACACATTACCTTCCCCTGACCCCACTTGTGGGAACTTAGTGGGTTTGTTGTTATTATTGTAATTTGATACAAATATTAAGTGTGGATAAATATTTACCGGCACTCACTTAATCTTGTAACTTACGTAGGGGCGTATCTAGGGAGGGCTCCATGAGGCACGTGAACTCATGCTCTTCTCCCTAGATCATGTATAGTCATTTTATACTCTGGAAAAAAATACTTAAATATATGTATGTGCACCTAACCTCAAAGTATTATATGATGCAATGATTTTTGGGTGCACCTCTCTAAGTGAGATTGTGAGTTCAATCTTATGTCATGGAATCCGGGATCCAAGTAGATTAGGTAAGGCAAGTATGAGTTCAACCCTTTTCTCTAATCTTATTTGTTTTTTCCTTATATTTCCTAGATCTAGACACCCATGAGAGATGGACATGTCTGGTGTCACTTTTTGCATATTAATTAAGTACTTTTTCTTTTTCTTTGTTTGATTTATTTTTTTTAAAATTTTCACATAATGAAATTTCTATTCTTCTTTTGTCATTATAAAATCTAATATGAATAAATAAAATGTATATATTAAAACAAGTAACAGTAGACAATGTAGCATAGTGGGTTCAGTTAATCCTCACATTTTCAACACGGAGTATAAATATGATGTAAAAAAAATTACTATTTAAAAAATAATAATTTTAAACTTAAAGTGTAATGGGTGAAGTAGCAAAAACTAAAGGTTGAACTCATAAAATTTACTCCCTCCGATTCACAATAAGTGTCCAATTTGATTTTAGCACGCCCATTAAGAAAATATTAAATTCTATACAAAAATACCTACAATGACTAAGCTACCCCTAATTAAACATTTAATGTGAAGAGTAAGAAAACTTTTTAGGGATATGTACATAGAGGTTATTTTGTAAAAACAAATTGAATTCTTTCTTGATTACATAAATGGACATTTATTTTGAACCAAAATGAAAAAGCAAATTGGACACTTATTGTGAACCGGAGGGAGTATATCCCGAATCCACCTCTTCGTAAATACTGCGCCATCTTTCCAAAATTTTGGAATAGTTTTAGCCTTCTGGACCCACAGATCTGCGCTATCATGAATCAATGTAGTCATGATATAGACTATTTTCAATACTTATTTGGAGAGCATGCTTCTACTCCATTTTGAATAGGATGATTACTGTCTATGGAAAAAGAAAATCAGTGGAGTACCAGAACCTCATGAAAACTTTGGTCTGGTTGTACTTGGGCAGTGGACTAATTGGCAATTACTCATTGACCAAATCAGTTTTCTTTGCCTAGTTTATACTACTACGTAATCAACTTGATAAATAATGACCAAAAAATTCCAAAATTGAGCATTGACTTCCAAATTTCATGCTGGTCTGTGTTATTTTTCTTGTCAAAGATGGTTTTGTGTGTCTACTTTAGTACTCTGTGCAATATAATGGAACAACCCTTGAAGCACTCTTCACATTGCTAATTGCTTTCATATATAATTCGGCAAGGGCCCAAATATATCCATGTACTATGAGAAAAAGTTTAAGTATACCTATCGTTATACTTTGGGTCCAAATATATTCGTGTTGTAATACTATTGGTTCAAATATATCCATCTTCTGTTAAGTTTGTCCTAGGTGGACATCCAATCTTACGTCGCACCGATATTTGATGAGGTGGATGTACATAGCATGCCATCTCAGCGCCCCTAATCCATATATAAAAGACCAAAATTTGAATGGAACGGTATTGGTTGCAATAGTGGTGGAGGGGAAGAAAAATTTTAGTGGTAGAAAAAAAAATAGAAGGGAGGGGCAAAATAGGTTAGGAGCGCTGAAGTGGCAAGTCATGTGGAATCCACCTCATCAAATGTTAGTCCTCGTAGGATTGGATGTCCACTTTGGACAAACTTAACGGAAAAAGAGTATATTTGAACCAATAGTATAACAACAAGGATATATGTACAGGGGTATATTTGGCCTTTTCCGTATATAATTTGGTTCCCACCTGTCCTTACACGTCATTATAGAATAAGTTTAATGATCCAAAGCAATTTAAGAATCTAATTAGTCTTGGTACGTAGACAGTGTACACACACAGAGAGAGAGAGAGGGGGCTGTTGCCTGTGGGGTTAGAGGTTGGGTCTTGAGATTATGAAGAAAGTGATTAACTTTAATTGTTCACAGTTGGGACCATTTATATATGTAGGATCACTGATTAGCTACCTACTTTATCATACTTGGCATTTATAGCCCATTGGCTGGTTCATTTCTCTTAAAAGTTAATTAGGTGATCCCAAGTTTAAGACTTCCATAAGCGGCCAAACAACTCAACAACAATGTGCTAGGGCAGATTCACATTTTCCTCTTCAATTCTTTTTTTTCATAATTATCTTATTTGCTGGTACAAATAATCCAAATTCGCTTTATGTTGTGCCCGTCAAAAGGAGCATATTTTTTCATTCTCACAACTCGGACTCAAAACTTCTAGTTAATGTTGAAAGAATTTCATCAATCCCATCACAGCCCGAAATCTTCACCTATTGTCAAGAAAGTGTAGTAGATGGGATGATACTATGCACTCACGGAACGTAATGGCACAAGTTATTACGCGTGTAAAAGGTAATAAATACTGTTGTTCTTTAAAGGTGGGCAACTGGAAGTTTTGACTTATCTCTATTTTGTAGTACTGCGCTTGAAGCAACTTTTGAAACATAATTTTGAATTAGGAGTGACAAATAGGCGGGTTGAGTTGAATTTGGGCGGGTTAAGATAGGTTAGGTCAATAAATTGATCATTGTCCAACCCAGCCTAACATATACTTGGACTAAAATGGGTTGGGTCAAGATAAGCTAAACAATGGGTTATAGCCCAACCCGCCCAACTTGACCGATGTTTTATAACCATGCTCACCTTGTATAAGAAATTATTTTACCTTAAAATGTGTAAGTTGAAAAATATTTTGCGGGTGAGGGCGGGTGGAGGGGGGGTTGGATGAGTGGGTGGTGCAGAAAAACGAAAAAACAGAAAATAAAAAATACAAAAGAAAAAGTAAAAAAAAAAGTTTTTTAGGGAGTTGGCGCGGGGGGATGGGGGGTGTGGCTGGGGTAGGGTAGTGCAGAAAAATAAAAAAATAGAAAATTAAAAAT